CTAGTTACTTGATTAAGGTAGATTCAATTAATATATTATTTCATACAGTTGACTCACGTTTCTAAGCTCAACAACAAACGAATCTCTCCACGAATTACTTTCCGAGCACTTCGCTGTGAATCTCGGGGGATCTGATGTCTGTGGTGCGGGTATCCTTTTCCCCCGCATCCGATGCTCTCCCCCCTCATGTGCCGGCATCGACAGTACATGATGCTACCCCAATAGGGCAGCTGGTGTTACTATTGATGGCGAGATGACTCTCTTTGAAACCGCCCCTTGCTGGCATCGCAGTCTTCGAGGTCAGGAAATGAAGCAGGGATCAAAGCTCCCAGCTCCCAGCTCCCATGTCCAATGGCGTGCATCCACAGACGAATGACAGCTGGGGGTGGCGGGATTTGACTGGCTAACAGGCTCTCATCTATAAGATTATTCGTGACCTCCCCGCAGCTCTTCTTAGCTCTTTGTGCGGACGCTTCGGATTTCGATGTTGCGACGGGAGAAATGCTCTAATTCAAATAGTTGAATTACAGGTGAACTCAACGTAGTCCCCTGTTGTAAGTAGAGGTTATCGTCATGGCTGCGCTCTTCTACCTGTGGGCGCTCGCTGGCGCCGTGAAAGCAACAATTGTATCGAATGCGTCTTCATCCTACCCGCTATTTGCTACCGAGATCGCTGTAGGCCAACCGCTCGACGGCTTCGTGAGTTTCTCTATCGAATTCTCATCGTTCCCCGATTTTGCAGGTAAGTCATTTCCTCTAACGCAATACTTATTCTCTGGTCTCATAACTCACAACCTCGTAGGAAATGTGTCAAATCCGAATAAGTTTTCAAACAATTTGCTGAACAACCTGGGCTATTTCACGGGAACGAAACCGTACATACGGGTGGGAGGAAACACGCAGGATTATGCCATCTACAATGCAAATCTGACTATCGCGCTCAACGGCACGATAAATGCGACTCGGTCGCCGGATTACCCGACTACGATTGAGATCGGGCCATCATTTTTCGAGTCGTATTTGACATGGCCGAACGTGAAATTCAGCCACGGTTTCAACATGGGTGGAAATCACGATGATAGACAATGGGCTACGCTACTTCAAACCGCTGAGATCGCGTGCAAGACCTTGGGCAAGGAAAAGTTGTACTGGTGGGAATACGGCAACGAGCCGGATCTCTTTGCGACGAGTTCGCAGGGCCCGGTGCGGCCGGCGAACTATAATGAATCCGACTACGTGACGGAGTGGCTAGCCGCCACGCGGGCTATCAAGGGCGTCATCGCGGAGTATTGTCCAGATTTACTAGGCAATGACACGTATGGCTATCTTGCGCCTTCGTTCGGAGGCGTCGGGAATCACCTCAAGGCGCCGCTCGTATGGGCCGACGGTCTAGATACGGATGGGACCGTACGGTATTTTTCGACGCATAAGTGAGCGCCCCTTTTTGCAATTCGTGTTATTCATAACATAAAACCTTCGACGCCATGAGGGATTTATACTGCGAGGATTAACTAACACCTTCACCAGCTACATCTCCGGTGCGGCCTCACCGGGCGTAACACTTCAAGGCACCTTAATGAACCACACGCGCACACGTTCGAGTGTGGACGCTCACGTTTCGGAATTTGCCACGATCTCGGCTTCCGCGCCAGGTCTAGTGCAAATCATGGGCGAGACGAACTCACTTTACAACCAGGGGAAGCCAGGGTTATCGAATTCCTTCGGTGCTGCGCTCTGGGGCATCGACTTCAACCTCTATTGTGCGAGCGTAGGGATTGGTCGGGTACATATGCACAGTAAGTAGCTATCAGTGCCTTTGACTTCTTATTCTAGCCATCTCCGGAGTACACATGCTCCTCTTCGGGTGCAGATAATACTCTCAAAGCCTCTCGCGGATTCGAAATACGCATCAGTCGGCCATACACAGAGTGTCGAAAACTAACTCAGCGTGTCGCAGTGGGGACAAACTACCGCTACGCAAGCTGGCAGCCCATCACCACAGACCTCGCCATCGCAGGGACCAAAGCGCCGTACTACGGCAACATCGCCGTGGCCGCGTTCCTCGGCAACCTGCGGATCGAGCCGGTGCGCGTAGCTCACCTAAACCTCGCCATCTCAGGGGGCAACGGCACAGACACCGCCGTGGGCGTGCAGGACGCCGCGTACGGCGCGTACGTCGACGACGTGCTGGCGCGCATCATGGTGATCAACATGCGCGCGTACAACTACACCCTGAACGGCACGGGCGACCTGTGCACGCTTAACCCGGCGCCGCGGACTTCACGCACGTATAGTTTCGGGGTGGAGGGCTTCGAGGACGGGCGCGAGGCCGTGGTGCGCAGGCTCTATGCGAACGGCAGCGATGCTATTACCGGCATCACGTGGGACGGCATCAGCTACAACTACGAGCTGGATCTTGGCAAGCCCGTGCGCTTGCGCAACGTCACCGTTGGAGAGAGGGTGGTTGTTAAGAATGGCGCGGTGGAGGTTGCTGTCCCGGACTCGCATGCTGTTGTGCTGGATTTTGGGGATGGGTATAGGGAGCTGTGAAAGTGCACTTCGTACCCGGAAAAAAACGTGTATATAGCTATGAATGATGAGGACATTTTGATATTCGAGATTTAATATATGCCCTGACGCTACTATCTTTCAATACTTCATTCCAGTAGAGACGAAGACGGGGGTAATCACGAAGAAAGCCAACCCAAAATGTGAATTTCTTTTTTGTCTTAGTTCGATTGATAAGTAGACCACTACAGTAGGTACACATTTATTATATGTAGCATGCGCCAGAACTCCAAACTAAGGTCTCCCTTCTCAAGTCGCTATCCGTACAAATCGCAAGCAAAGACTACGCAGGTAGTAGAAAATCTCCACGGTTAGTAAATCGTCGTCGTCATCATCCTCCGTGAGAATATTCGGGGGGTGGGTATCCTAAATTTCATCATCTTTCCTTGTTCCACCACGCCAACCAGACGGGCTCTAGTTCTTGCGCCTGTCTGCCTGCCTGGCTGTCTTCTCCTCTCCTCCATAGAGTCCCAAGCTACTGCTGCTGGCGCGCGGGATTCTTCCGGTCTAGGGTATTAAACGCCGTGGTGCGCGGCGTGTAGGGCATGAGGCCGGTCCGTGGGGTCGGCGGGATCGAGTGCATCTCCCAGGACGAGCCATTCTTATTCCTGCCAGCGCCCGCGCTGAGCGGCTCGTCGTCCTCGTCGTCGGAATCCCAATCTCGCTTGTCGCGCTCATTGGGGAGCAAGGCCCAGATGGTGAGGCCGAGGTTGACGAGGGTAACAATGCTGTTTGCAAGACATTGTTAGACAAGGAACGAGATGAGGAAGCGAATGAATTCGCTCATAAGTCCTAGTTGGGGAGGGAGGACTTACAACATGAGCGAGAAGGCAGCAAATGTGCCCTTCGCGCTGGTGCAGTAGCTCTGAATCTGCTGGTTTTTGGCGACGCTGCACGACTTTGCAACGTACCATGCCACGCGACTCGGGTGGTTGGGATCAAGGTAGTCTGGGCCTGCCTGTCCGCCTAGACTGGCGGCGTATAGACCCACGAATGCGATGTTGATGGGTAGGACGATGATAGGAAACCAAAAGTCCATGATAATCGCGATCAGCCTTGTGATGAGGAAGAAGAGGCTGATAATAGCGATGGCGACGTTGAAGTCGGTCAACCTATGTCAGATCACGTCAGTGCCCAGCTCTAATAGCAGATGCTAGGAGTGTGCATCAGAAAAAAGACTCACGTTCTCGACCATACAAAGGGAATCGTGGGCGGTGATTTCCCGTTAGAATATGCAAATGCCACAAGCGAGGGATTCGAATTGAAGCCCAGCTCGTAGCCGGCTTTCCATAGCTTCGTTCGGTATGTATCTGGCTGTGCGAGTGCGGTGAGGACCAGTAACGTAACGGTCAAGGCGAGCTCGACCAATAGCATGATCCACATGGCAGCCGTGGAGGGCCACTTTCTCTTGAGTATTCTATATGCCATGATGAAGGTTTATGAGATGTAAAGAGGTGCTTTGCCTCAAAATGCCAATCGTTCAAAAGATTCGCAGTAGAGCTCCGAAGAAATTGTTTTCTTCCCGGCTACTGATCGTCTTCGGTACCCGTGTCGCAAGGGATGGCTCGGCTCGTTCACACCGACCGACTGTCTGACTGACTCCCTTGGCGATGCTGGCAATATCATCAACAACAGCAACGAGAAGTCAGTTGTTGTTCTTGTTGTTAGCCGATCAATCAATTAACTTGATCCTCGGAATAGACAAGGTCGAAGCTGAAGCGACCACGCAGCTTTTGGGGGTCACCCATTTTAAGAAATGGCGGGAGGCCGGCATGGCCCAACCCAAGCATCGCATCGCACAAGGCGGGCTGCAGGTCAATCACAGAGTCTTGGATTCCGGGGTGGTGATATGTTGGGGGTGGGCCAATGAGAAGAGTGATTGGCGAGGGCAAGCAGGACGATAAGCGCCGAGCTATGGCCATTGGTCCCCATCAGCGAACCTAGGGACCACACGACGGGCGCTTCGCCCTCGGCAGCAGGGTCTGCCGCCGCGGGATTGGTCTTTGTCTGCTGGGTCCACTAGCATAGACCCGCCAATCGTGGCCCGCCTTATAACGCCAAGCAATAGCGACCAAGCTCTCGGTGGGCTGTCTGTGATTCTTCCTTCGCATTATTGCTTAAGACCCCACCGTCTCGTTGGCTTGAGCGTTCCTCACAATTATGTTCCATTAATGAGTGAGCTGATTGTTTGGTGGCTTCCTTAGATAGGCGATCTACATCGATATACTTATATGTAAGCGGCAGGACCCGACATCTATAATTAACTCACGTAGGTAGTCTCATTGAACTACAGCAAGCACTTATGGAAATCAGTCACACAATTGACTATATAGGTGGAGGGAAGGTATAAAGAGTAAACAGTCTTATTATGCTCACATTGATAAAAAAATTGTAAGACATTGAAAAATTAAAAACATAAAAAATTTCAAAATTTCTGATTGCAAGGTTCGAACTTGCGCGGGTTGCCCCAGCAGAATGCGCATGTTTAATGGCTTAAGTCTGCCACCTTAACCACTCGGTCAAATCAGAATCGAATTCTTTGACTGAATTCTAACGAGCTTCATATTATATTACGACTGCAAAGTAGACTTTTCCACCGAGAGTCGTTTTTAGCTTCACAGGCGCACTCTTGGCAGCCAGCGATCCTGGTAAGATTACCCCGGTAGATATTACTAAGTACTCATTACCATGCTTCATTCCACCTACAACATCAAAATCGCATTCGCTTCCAACATATAACTTGATTGTAGTTGCTTGTAGGGCATATTTACATATATGCTAAGATAAGAGTATCAATATAAAACTTATGATTGGATTGCCGGGATCCTGTTGTGCATCTTTTGTAAGCTCAACTCCTTTTTAGAACAGCTCGATATGTTGCGGGGTAGAGCCGCTTACCTAAAAATAAGCCAAGAATCTTCAACGCTTTAGAAGTTCTTCGAGTATCATTATCTTCGTATTTTTATGCTCGTCAACCGCACGATTCTAATTATTTGATGCGAACGCTACGACATTTGCTAAGTGCAGTGACTGCATCGCAAGTTTATGGTTCGTTGATATTCTTAGAATGATTAGCAAACCGCCAGCAGTTTCCTTAGTAGGAATACCTAGAGCGAGAACAGCTTTCACCAACGAACTTGAGATTGTGAATAGTATTATTAGTGTCATAAGGCCACCCCAGAGGAGGGCTCGTGAGCCACGATGGAAAAGGGATTATGGGGTATAAGAAGGAGTGAGCAACAGGACTGTTCTGGTATATAGATAGGGAAGCACTAGGAAGAGTGTGTTAGAGACCTTCGCGGGACAACAATAGTCTATCGCCAACCTCGTACTAAGGAACCCTAACAACTAGCAAATAGCTTTCAGAAAATATAGGACCGTAGTAGATCAATGAAATGCATTATCAAGTCGATGAGTTAGTAGATAATTTAGAAGAAGTTCTTAATAACAAGCTGGTATAAGCCGCACACCTCGTCCTCCATATTAGCAATGACGCTGGTACAAGATTTCCCTTAACTTGTCATTTTATCCTTCAAGTCACTTCGGCGGACAGTGACGATTCAGACTTGCTGTGTGTCTCATTACTTTAATGAGGTTTATTCACTACCACGTTGATGAATCTAGGGTTTTCGTGGAAGGGAAGAATTTTGTTGGGCAGGCCGAGGTTTTTGGGTTTCTAAAAGTAAATGCCCTCTTCGTTTAGAACTGTTGCTTTTGTTTGGACTTTTTATTCCACTCGTCTTGCCTGCCATGTTTGGTTTGCTATATCGATAACCTCACTGCAATGTCTTTTGGCAGCTGCCTTAAGAGCGCGGATATTTTGTAAACTTGCTTTAATACTCCTATGTTAAGGGTTTAGGATTCTCCGCATACGGTGTACTCTACAGTAAATTGTTTAATAGTCTTAAATACTCCATTTAAGGTAGCATAACTTAGCGTATGTTAAAATAACGACTTATAAGCATTATAATTCAGACTTAAATAAACAGGTAACCACAATGCAATTCGTTAAACCCCACGTATAGCTATAACTATAATTTGTATCTCTAGCTTTTAAGCCTACAAGAAATAACCAGGTACGTGTGTGGAGCTAGGGATTGTAGGTGAATAGAGAATTATCTTGTTGAAAGACTGACTGATATTGTCCTATGTAATAGCACTGATACGGCGAGGGCCGCCGGTAGTACAATGGACTTCATTTTCGGATCCTAAAGCCCCAAGTTGTGAGGGCTTCCATACTAACACTCGAAATTTGTAAACAATAATATACGAGCGCACAAGGGTGATTTAAGTTACGGAATAACGGAAGAACTCTCTAAGTAACGGTGGTAGCTTGGTCGCGATATATAGGACTCGGGGGTGTATCTGGCTTAAAACGGCGCTGGAAGACCTGTAGACCGATTGATGAACTCAACGCCTGCGTTAGGTTGTGTTGCCCTAGATAGGCATTGATACCTGAAGATTTGCTAGGCGTATATTTAGCCTGGGTATATAGCACGTTGTCGCAGCCACCGCTACCCTTAGGCCCATACCGTAGGAGAAGAGGTAGCACACCAAACCCTCCGTCGATTCCGCGGCTAGTGGGAATAAACTGCCCAGTAGAAAACGCTATTGTGTAGAGTCTGTCAACAAAAGAAATTATGTATAACCCACTGTTTTCTCTCTAGGTACATGTGCTTCCATGCTGTATAACTCTAGTATGTAGTCAAATACTATGTTATTTTATTATGTAACACTGATATCTAACTCGCTGCGCTAGAACTATAAGGCCTGTTGCTAGCACTAGTAAAATTAAAGTGAATTGGCTCTCGTCACCAGCTCCCTAGGAGGGACCGGTCATTACTAAAGCACCTCGTAGTCAGTCATGGTTGGGCCAATCTTGATCTTCAATGGTAGTATGTCGGGGTACCGAGGGACTTAAAAAAAAAAAAGACTGGCTATCCGGCTGTCTTTGGCGCCAGAATAACAAGATATAGGGTCGGATTGCATTCGCTACAACGTTCGGCTATCTTCTTGCAGCGTTTCTTGTAATGTTACTTTGCCCTCAGGCCATTGTCGGCGAGCCTTGGGCGCTTGACTCGAAGCCCGTGGTTGACCGCTTGCTACATGCATGCGTCTTCATCCACGCCACGAATTTACATGTTGTCAAATTCTCAAGTATTTCGGTGACACGTGTTGTGACACAGAAATTTTCATTTATGGTCCAGTCCCGGGTAGGTAGTCCAGCGTAAATAGATAGCTGGCTCCATATTATATCTCACTTGCCTCGGTAGCAAATAGCTTACTGAGGGGAAATGCCGATGTCTACCGTAGTTTAGGGACTTGGTAGTCTTACGTCATTGGCTAATACAAATGAAATACTGTATATCATATCGTGGTTAACTTATCAAATTGCTAGAAACTTGACATGGAAAATTCTCGTTGTTTTGTGAGTCGCTAGTTCAAGCAAACTCTTCACGCCAACTCGATGGTGCAGTGTGTTTCCAGCCTGCTGTATTGGCCGAAAACGATAGGACGTTAGATCGGGGGCAGATCACTTTCCTTATGTGTCCGTAATCGTCTCACGGAGGAATTGAGACTGCCTAGAGTATGACTTGCGTTGCCCGAGTTCCGGCTGCATCGTCCAATGTAGCGGGCGGACTCACGCCTTGTGTTGAAATCGATCGCTCTAGACTCTGGGATCGACCGAAAGTTATGGGGCACCTCGTGTCACACGGCATGTGTTCTGGACGTTGGTACCTATCTCCTACGCATATACCTCATAATAAAACTACTAAGCATAACACAGGCTCGGTTGTCACGAACTTGTATGTACGTAGGTTAGGGCGGTATATGCGTACGCACTTGGGTAGGCACCTCAGGTAACCTGCCTACCTATTACCGGAGAGGCTGAGACCAGCGCCTGGGTTACGTACAGTGTGCCAGGCAACAACAACAACAACGCGATGTGGTGGGATGGGATTTCTAAAAGCCGCATGGGATGTCTCAGGGACGACTTGACTGTCTCGGGGCGGATGCACGCAAGTTCACAGGCCCTAGAAAAAAAATCAGGTGAGTCGGTTGTGACACTCCCGTCCCATCTTGCACGTGTGTGCCCGAATGCCCAGAGAATTCGGAGACTCGTCCGTCCCCCTATCGAGTACTTGCCTATTACATGCAGCCTACTTCTCGCAGCATACAACACTATACTTAGTACAACACTACATATGTAGGTACTCCCGTTGTGTCTGTCTGTCGTGTTGTACATAATGATTGTACATATTGAAAGTGTTGGGGCTCCTATCATCTCGATCAACCTATCTAGGTATGCCGTTCTTCTCTCTTGTCATTGCGTCGTGGAGGCCCGTTACATAGAAATTTGCGCGCTGTCAGTCTAGGTAGCCCGTGTTTCGGGTGTGGGATTCCAAGACATTTGCCGATTTAAAATCTTCAAAGCAAGAGCTGAATGTTTTTCCACGGCACAAATGGCCTTATACTGCACGTCTGTCCCTATTCGTAACTAGGGCCTGATGGCGACCAAACGGATGATGCGCTAATAAGCAAGCACCTATCAGGTATGGTTGTCCCTTGCAATTTGTCAAGCTTCCTCGGCCACGATACGGCTTTGCGAAGAACTTTTATTCTGTATAGCTGATGCTGGTGTAGAATGATGAAGGCTGGCTGGTGGAGAGAGCCGTCTCCAAACAATGCCTCTGCTGATAATAAAATAATTGATCACAATAGCCTGTGGGTAACGGGAAGTGATCATTTGTTGGCTCGATATCCATTGTAAACATGTACACTACTTTGACAGCCAAGAGTTTAAGCGGGATTTGGACTCATGACACATGCCCGGGACAGGTCCTCATATCATACCTATCTACACCAAAGATGCGCGTAGGTTAGATAGATATCTACTTAGTATATGGAAAATAGAGCACCTACCTAGGGACTGCCCACGCGACAAGTAGGCTAAGTAGGAGGGGCCTGACAACCTGACCAGTGGCGCCTACCCCCATAATAAATGGGGCTAGTACTTCAGCCAATCAGAGCCCCTGGAGATAGCCCCACCCGACCAGTAGCCACCTAGATGAAAATTTTTTTTACCTACTTTTTTTAAAATTTTTTTTTTTTTATAACTATTATTACTACTACTATTAACCGTTACTGCTATTGCTAGCTTTTTTTTTTTTTTTTTATACTATTACTTTTTAAAAAAATATTTAATTTTTAAAAACAAATAGGTTTTTAATTAAAAATTAATTTTTAATTAATATTTAATTAATTTTTAATTAATTAATATTAATATATATATAGCTTGTTTATAAAGTATATAATGTTTTTATATAATAATTTAATAGTTTATTTATTTATAAACTAAATAAAATATATATAAAATTAATTATTATTTAATAAATAATTAATTATTAATTAATTATAAAAATAAATATTTAATTATTATGCTTAAAAAGTTTTTTTGCTATATTTATTTAAGTAATAATAAAGCTTAAAATAGTAATAATAAAAAAAAAAAAAAAAGTTATAACGTT